GATACTCCCAGGATTCATCCCCAGCCTCGCACCATTCTGCCTTGCTGCCTTGGTTTTGAGGGCCAATTTTCCTGCCATGTCATCCCACTGATGATTGCGGCGAGTGGGATTGCAGGAGAAGGAGTCAGGCTTTCTTCCATTGTGTGTCACTGTCGGCATCTCACCGAAACACACAAGAATAAAGGGAGATTGGCCACCTCACTGATAAACACGGCCCAGGCTCTCAACAACACCGACAAGATGACCTTTGGATGAGTCTGTCTGATGCTCATTGGCTCCCTCCCGGCAATCTTGGTTCAGTGTCCGACACACCAAGTGGTCCCTCGCCAAACTTGCGCCCACTCACAAAGGCACGGACTGCTCCAGCTGGTTCCCATTATTTTCCCCTCAGCAAGTGAACCCTTGTGGCCCGGTGGCCCCTTCAAACAGTGCTGACAAGTGAGATTGGGATGAGCGAACAAGCCGACAACTCTGAGAATCCTGGATGTATCCGTAGGTACTCCATGCCTACTGTGTGGTGTCCAGTATAGTATGGGGGATACGTATCTGATAACCCCGCATAGAGTTGCCTGAGATGGCAATGTGTCCCTGCAGATAAAGCTGGAGATTGCGCCTCCCCCATCCTCAATCCTGCGAGGCGAACGCTGTATTCCGATATCTCTGCCGCTGTGATATCGATAAGACGCAACTAGGGTGGTAGTTATACGTCTTAGTCAAGGCATACTGATTACAATCCCAGACAACATATCGATGCGGAAGACGGCGACACGGCGACGATTCCCATGTTGGCACGGGCGAGTACTCCGTCGCCGAACCCATAATCTGTAGCCCCCCCCCCCCCCCAAGTCAAGCCAAGCCTCCCCCGTCCAATGGACAGATGCATTCAGAAGCGGACGCTAACACAAGGAATGACGACATTGCGGAAATATTCTGCCTTAGCACCAGCGCCGCGCCGAAGGATTGGGATGGGGTCGACACAAAATCCATGGATGGCATGGGCATAGGGCGCAAACGCTACAACGCCTGCGTGCGAGATCAGGGACGAACCCAGTCAAACTCCACACAGACTTGCAACGTTCCTGGCCCTCTGTATGGATACTTTCCCTCATTGTCCCTGGATTTTCTGATGCAATCTACCTACAGGCTACGCCGAGAGCCCGCGGGTCGGGTTGGCTCAAAGTTCGTACGGGTCTGGTCTGTGGGTTGTTCAGCTGCAGAATGCAGAAAAAGCTTTTGCATTTGGGTGTGTCTACATACCTGGTAGCCCGGCGCGGCGCATTCTTCTTCTCACTCTCTTCGGTACACTGTGTGGCATGTGGTACGTTGCCTTGGGAAGAGAAGAAGTTCGCCCAGGTCGCAAAAGTTTTTCCCTGGTCGATTGACCAAACGAGACGCTGATCGATCTACCTGTCTGCCTGCTGCCACCCTTAAAACTAAACTCTCCCCCATCGAGATTCTCCCCGCGTGCCTCCATTCGAAACGTTTCGTTGCTCTCTCTCTTCCTTCCTTCTCTCCTCTCTTCGCACGCCCTCCTCTTTGTGCCCACGGTTTCCACTTGGCTTGAGCCGTTTCTTCATTCCTCCACATGCACTCAGTGGTCTCCTCCCTCCGTCTCTCGTCAACATACCTCCACGGGGAAAGAGTCTAGATAGTAAAGCCGTTGCGCTTGAACTAGCTCACTCTTTTCACCATGTCGGGTTCCGAGCAACTCAAGGGCCCGGTTGAGTCCGTCCCCAACGACAGGGTCTCTCTCGACAGCTATGGCTCCTCCGTGCGACACAACTCCGATGGCCTCCAGCGCCGCCTGAACAACCGTCAGATTCAACTGATTGCCATCGGAGGCACAATTGGTACCGGCCTGTTCGTCACCATCGGCGGCGGCCTCGCCAAGGGCGGTCCCGGAAGTCTGCTCATTGCCTACACCCTCTACGCCTGCGTCGTCGCCCTCGTTAACAACTCCATCGCCGAGATGAGCACCTACATGCCCGTGTCTGGTGGCTTTGTTCGTCTGGCCGGTGTCTGGGTTGACGATGCTCTCGGCTTTATGGTTGGCTGGAACTACTTCATCTACGAGGCATTGCTTATCCCGTTCGAAATTACCGCGCTTAATCTCGTGTGCTCTTTCTGGAACGAAAAGATTACGGAGCCGGGTCCGACGGCGGGTTTCTGCATCGCCATCATCATCGCGTACGGGTAAGTCACAAACCAATTCGTGGGAACGATTGACTCTTTTTTCTCCTTTCATTTCAGGGACAAGCGACTAGACCGACCGGACTTTCTAGAGCTCGTCGTGGTGCCCGCCCGTGACCCTTCTCGTTCTCCTCTCTCTCTCTCCTCTCGCCTCGGTGGTGCTCGTTGTGTGTGCATGCTAAACGTCAATGTGTGATTCTAGTCTACTGAATGTTGTTGCCGTCGGCATCTTTGGTGAAGCTGAATTCTGGCTCTCAGGCGGCAAGGTCCTGCTCATCTTCATCCTCTTCCTCTTCACCTTCATCACGATGGTCGGAGGAAACCCCGCCCACGATGCCTACGGATTCCGATACTGGAAGGAGCCCGGCGCATTCGCGGAATACATGACACAGGGTAATACTGGTCGCATGGAAGGCTTCATGGGTGCTCTGGCCACTGCCACGTTCACCATTGTCGGCCCGGAATACATCTCCATGATCGCCGCCGAGGCGAAGCACCCGAGCTTGTACATCAAGGGCGCCTTCAAGACCGTCTACCTGCGTTTCGGCCTCTTCTTCGTCGGCGCCGCTTTGACCTGCGGCATCGTGCTCCCCTACAACAATCAGACCCTCATCGACATCTACATCACCGGAACCGGCAGCGGTGGCACCGCCGCTGCCTCCCCGTGGGTCATGGCCATGGAGAACCTCAAGATCCAGGGTCTCCCCCACTTGGTCAATGCTCTGCTCTTCACCACCATCTTCTCCGCTGGTAACACCTATGTCTACTGCGCGACCCGGTCCCTGTACAGTTTAGCGCTCGACGGTCGCGCCCCGGCTCTGCTCCGCAAGACCACCAAGAACGGTGTGCCCGTCTACTGCTTCGCCGTCACCATGGTCTTCCCCTTGCTCTCCTTCCTGCAGTGCGGCAGCGGCTCCGCAAAGGTGCTCAACTGGCTGCTGGCCCTCATCACGGGCGGCGGTGTCATCAACTACCTCGTCATGTCCATCACGTACATCAACTTCTACCACGCGTGCAAGGCCCAGGGTCTCGACCGCAAGACGCTGCCCTACTGCGGATACCTCCAGCCCTACGGCGCCTACGTTGCCCTCTTCTTGCAGACCATTGTCATTCTCGTCTACGGATGGTCCGCCTTCCGCCCCAAGTTCGATGTCGGAGGCTTCTTCTCCAACTACACGATGCAGCTTGTCGCGCCTCTCCTGTTCATCTTCTGGAAGGTCCTTAAGCGCACTCACTGGCTCAAGCCCCATGAGGTGGACTTGACGTGGGACCGCCCCATTATCGAGGCCTATGAGCAGCATGCTTTGGTGCACGAGCCTCCTACCACCTTCTGGAGGGAGATGCTCCAGATGATTGGAATTGGTCGCAGTAAGGTGATCAAGGGCGAGAAGGCTTGAACGAGTAATTCTAATGATGATGGTGGATGGCGCGTGATACCCCAGTGTGCTAAAATATACGGTCGTCTACATGTATGCAGCGTAATATAAAAGTTACCATCAGTTCTTGTCCATGTTGTGAACATGTCAATCACCATAAAATTGCGTCGTTGTTTCCAGGCGCTCTCTCGCGATTGCTCAGGGCTGTCAAAGCAGTCTCAACTCCCAGCCACGTTCCGCAACTTCTGCTCATTGCACAGATGGATAGTAAAGAGTGACAGAATGGATATCGGATTGATGTCTACGCGTAAGCACGCGCATGGCCTTGTACCTCACTGCCTTGCAGCAAGTGATCGACGCGGCGGATATCCTAAGTAAGTGAGACCGTCAGCGCTAGCACTGAAAGGCACTGAAACACGGCTCATTTTTCTAGGTACTTGAACACTGCCTCAGCTGCTGCGGTCATCCGAAGAGAAATGCCTCCACACAATAACTCCAAGGTAGGAGGGGGAAATGTAGTTGAAATTGGGGTGGGAAGGCTAATTCACACGTTGTTGTAGTTTGCTGCACTTCTGGTTATTTATCAATCTGATTACAACCCAACGTTTTCATGCATTTTCAAGCGCGATGAGCTACAAGGCCTTCATGGCATCCTTAGAAGGAGGTGTGGGGCTTCCCGTCCCATCATCGAATATGGCTGGTTTTCAACTCCGATCTCATCCATGCATTCGATCAATCAGCTCAACACAGAGCCACGGACAGCGATCAGAGAGGTACTCACTTTGGATGAGGATGCCACGCTTCATGCTTCACTCTCAGGTGAACTTAGTGTGGCTTTGAGTGAGCTGGAACGTCCTTACATATCCCAGTATTTGAGCAATTGCACTTCTTGTGTTCAAGAATTCAATTGCTCTCAAAAGTCTTCATTCAGGCCGAGGGGGTGTAAAACAGATTCTCACACGCCTGGCGCGCACATATTTCCGCACTTTGGAGGTGCCTTCTGTTCTTACGCATCATGATTATTGCCATTGGGATAGTTGAGAGCCTCGTAATGATACCTGATATTGGTCCCCGGTTTGTCTGTTTCCAGTCTGGGCCACCTGCACTTTTGCATGATTCGCGGATTATCATGTGCTGCCACAACTGCGGTTGCACTGTGGCTTGCAGGAGCTGAGCTTCCTATGCAGCCACCCCAGAAGTCGCTGACCAGTTGGAATTGGGCCATTTCCCAAAAGGCAGTATGTCAGGCAGAGACTTTGACAGGCCGGTAGGCTACAGCAGGCAGTGGCGAACCGTTTGTCTAATATTGCAATTTTTAAGGAGACATTTTGCCCATCATCTTTAGGCTACCGTTAGTTTCAAATTATTCCTCGTACTTGAACGCTTGGATCATTCACCAGACGATGACAGTTCCGCTTACGCAAGCCTAATCACATGGCTGAGCTGAGTTTATCACCCATGGCTGGAGCAAATGAACAGTCTCATAAGGGATCTTGCACTGAATGCTTGAAACTACCGAGAAAGTTGTTCGAACCAGGCTCGACAATCTCGCATTCATTCTACAGCGGTGACGGGGCCGCTGCGAGAATCCAGCTTTCGGCTCAACAAGGGTGCCATTTCTGTACCTTGATATTCGATGCCCTTGAGGCAGGGCAGAAAGGCGACTCTGAAGTCACAATTGACAAGAACGGAATTTCACTCAGGACCCTATGGACTACCTCATGGCCCGGGTATTGGCAACCTAAGGTAGCGGATTACTCAGTACTCAGACCTGACGAGGAGCACATTACTACTCCCGCCCGTAACAGTTCTCCGGATCAAAGGCCTGGTCCTCTTTTGAAGCTGACCTGGGGTAATTGCGTCACTCATCTCCGCTTCAATATCCACTCTGATGCTAGTTCCAAGAAACCGGGGAAGCACGTAACGAATTGGGACTTGTATAGCCAAACGAAGGACTTTGAGCCAGCCGAGAAGCACTTTTCCCCCTTGGCGGCACAAGCGGACTCCCCCAAGGTGTTTCAGCTTCTGAACTTCTGGCTGGATGAATGCCAGAAAAGGCACCGCGATAAATGCGCGTACGTGGGAGAACTTGTTTTGGAGCACGAATTTGCTTCGCCTACAAGACTGCTGCGCGTCGGCGAGGAAGGCGAGAACATTGTCCTGGTGCTCTCGGCCGGTCTGAAGCGAGATGAAGGCGGCTTCGGGCCCTCTTACACCGCGTTGAGCCACTGCTGGGGAGATCCCAAAAGTGTGCCACAAACGACAAAGGCGAATCTGGAGCAGATGATGCGTGTTGGTCTTCGCTACGATGAGTTATCTCCCACGTTCCAGCATGCCGTCAAGATCGCTAGAGAGCTTAATATTGGGTGGCTCTGGATCGATTCTTTGTGTATAGTTCAAGACGACAAGGCCGACAAGGACCGCGAGCTGCCACTGATGGAAATTATCTACTCCATGGCTATCTGCACTCTCGTCGCATCGGACTCGAAAGATGGGAGTGGCGGTTGCTTCCTCCCTCGAGGATCCAACCCGGATATGCACGTACGACCCTGTACAAAGACTTTTAACGAAGTGAAGACCAAGGTCTCAGTCACCTTCCAGCCCTACATGGCAGACTGGGCCCAGTCGGTGACCAATGGGCCCCTGTTCTCCCGTGGCTGGTGCTTCCAGGAGAGGCAGCTGTCGAAAAGAATCATCTACTTCACCAAGAGTCAAGTACTCTGGGAATGCCGAGCGTCCATCGCATCCGAGGCATACCCTGAGATCAGCAGTTGGTTTACTCGATCAGAACCCCGATTTATGGCTCCGCCCTTCCGCGTAACTTGGGCTCGAATAACCGACAGAACAATGCTATACAATAGCCTCGAGCGGGTTCAGCCGTGGTTAGATGACTGGCTGCGCGTCGTCGAGGCTTATTCTGGCAAATCTCTCAGCAAACCGGAAGATCGACTTCCCGCGATTGCCGGTGTAGCAGCGCACTTTCAGCAAAACATACGCCGGCCCGACCGTTCTCTCAGCAGCTACGTAGCTGGAATGTGGTTTTGTGATCTTGCGAGAGGGCTTTCATGGAAGCCGTCCCTCGACCTTGGTACACATAGACCAGCGAAAGACAAAGGCTGGCCCCCGCCCCTCAGGAATTCCACGACATTCAATGCTATACCGGAAACACAACCCGAGCCCCTATCCGTGTGGCTTCCGTCCTGGTCATGGGTATCAGTTGATGGTCGTGTGCGGTACCCTTACGCCAAAACTTCCTCCCAAAAGCCGACTGTGATCGGAATGGGCGGTATGGAACATCTCAATCCAAATTCTAAGAATTTCGACAACGTGTCGGTTCCTGACACGCCTCTCGAACCATTCTTCGGCCGCATCTCTCTTGAGACTGACTTCGAGTTTGGGGAGCTCGAAGGGGGGATTATTGGCCTCACAAACTACACTGTTGAGACTACGATATCCGAAAAACATCTCATCAAAGATTCGATTGCTGTGACTGGAATTCCCAAGTGCTATTCAATGTTGAAGCAAAGCACCAATCCGTTCAAAATCAACAGGCGGTCAGAGCCATCGGCCGGCGGCGTCATCATCATGGATACGAGCCCAACTCAGCTTCCAAAGACAAGATTATATTGCCTGAGGCTCGGCAACTCCAAGAGTCTGTTCAACAACGAAAACTTGGTCGAGATTGGTCTAGTTTTATTGGAGACGCCTTACAAGTCCATGGCTGGACTTAGCTCACGATGGCATTCGAGGTCTGGTCCGGTGGTACAAAGAGTTGGCTTTTTCGAGATTGGCATGTGGGACAAGCAATGGGTCGAGAAATCTCGACAAAGAACCTTCTATATCATATAGGTTCAATGTGGTTTTTCTTGTGTCGTCAGTGGCGGTGATGTGTACTGTTTCTTACTATCAGAAGGTCACACGCTCGATAAAAATCTCGAAAGTACTCTCAGTCATGAATGAATTTTCATAGCTTCATATATCGCATATCTAGCTTAGTGCCCAACCATAGCCTGCTGGGTTGGGTTGTATCTGTTTCCATGCGGCTTGGCCGCATCGATAATCTTCCGCATCTCCACCCTCTCCTCGTCGGAGAAAACAACGTCTCTTGATACCCAGTTCTCTTCTAATCTCTTGGCCTTTGTTGTGCCAGGAATAGGAATCATTCCCTGAGCGGCAACCCAGGCAAGGGCAATCTGAGGCAGCGTGACTCCCTTGCGCACAGCAAGCTTCTTGATCTCATCGACAATAGCCTTGTTCTTGTAGAAGTTCTCGCCTTGGAACTTGGGACCTTTGCATCGAGTTGTCAGCGTTTGTTAGACAGAGTTTCTGGTTTCCAGTTGTAACTCACTTCCACGACGGAAATCGTTGGGTGCAAAGTCGTCTGGGCTCTTGTACTGGAAGTCATCAACGAGCCATCCGTGACCCAGGGGGCTGTAAGCCACGTATGCAACTCCGAGCTCCTTTGCAGCTTCAATCAAACCGTCAGTCTCGTGGATAGTCTCGAAAGCTGAGTACTCGGCTTGAAGCGCATCGATCTTGGCAACTACGGATTGTTAGTGGGGGGTCTGAATACTTCTAAGAGTGGGACTTACTTGAGTTGGCCTTGCGAAGGGTGGCCGCTGAGCACTCAGAAAGACCGATGTACTTCGTCTTGCCCGCCTTGCGGATCTCATCGAGCGCTGTGATGGACTCCTCGAGGGGCGTGTCTAAGTAAGGTACCTGTCAGTGAACGTTTCCTCTCATCTTCCTCCAGGCTTGGAAGCTTACTGGGATCAATGCGATGAAGGTAGTAGAGGTCAGGAGTGAAACCAAGTCTCTCGATAGTGCCCTCAATGTACTGCTTGATGTGAGAAGCAGAGTTGGTGATACCGCCGGAGCCAAAAACGTCAAATCCACACTTGGAAGCGACTGGAAGAGGAAAGTCAGTTGTAGTCAATGAAGTGAGAATACTTCGAAAGCACTGACTGAACACCTTGTCCCGCACGTTGTGCTTTCTGATGAAGTCGCCGAGAAGCTTCTCGTTAACACCAGCCTGGTAAACAACCTAGTCGCAAAGAGGTTAGTGCCTCGTGGAAAGCATATGTGTATATGGAGATCATGCGTAATGGTGTTGAGGGGCCTGCGTGAGAGCCATTGACTTACTGCTGTATCCCAGAATGTGCATCCGAGCTCAATTGCCTTAAGTAGAACGGGTTCAGCTTCTTCCAAGCTCAGATTGCTTCCCAGGCCGAAACTCAGGCCCATGGCGCCGAAGCCTGGCGAGTTGACTTGGATGTCCTGGAATTGGAAAGTCTTGGCCATTTTGATCGATTTTGGTTGTGGTCGTATTAGTAGCTTTGCTTTTGACGTGATTTCATAAAGATGAATGATCTGCTACTTCAATAACAGAACAAGATCTTGGCTTCGAGGTCATTTAAGATGCGTCAGTGAGTCCATTCCCAGTGACGTAACTGCAGCGAAAACGACATAGCTACGGAGTTACGGCGATAACATGCGACTGGCTGACAACTAGAACGTGGATCCAATGATCTTCGTCCCACAATATGGCGCCACGAAACTTTGCCAAACACTTCAAAACTGTGCCCGAGCCAATGAACAACTTTGACTTACACGGAAATAATTTATTCTTCTCCGAAGTCCTGGATTTAAGGATGGTAGGTAAGCTGAGGTAAACTCTCCAAAGTCTTTGTATAAGTCGCATTCGGTCTGAAAGCTTGGTCAGTGCATGAGTCGCATAACAATTCTGCTGACATCCCGTCGCTTCGGAGACGCTAAGTCAGAGAAGACCACTTTCGCCGGAATATTACCTGCTGAAGCATCGGCAAAGCGGCATCCTAGCAACAGAGCAAATATTTTTACTCAAGAACAGCCTGGACTGCCCCATGGTCGATGAATGTCTTTCAGTAGTCCGGCATATTATCTGTCTCGAGGTTCCAACGTAGTTGGCCCTCGGCTTCATACTGATCTGAAGAGCGATTATATATGCCATCTAATTCCTGTCCGCAGCAGCTTTACTGAAAACCGGATTCTAGATATATCCGTACACAACCATTGCCGAACCCACTCGGCCGAATCATGCCTGCAAGGGGAAGGAGCTTGTATTCACGGTTTGACGTGATCGATGAACAAGCAGCTAATTGATGTCACTATTCCGCAGTGGGCCTTGGCCATCCACTTTACAAATTAACTACCTCCTTTTCGCGCTGACAGCTTCGGTATTAGTAATGCTATCTCCAACTTCATAAAGCTCAAGAATCTTTGAAATATAGTACTCCGCCACACTGGATATTCTAATCATTCTTCTTATGATCTCGCTCGTTTCGCTACCCTAGGTACTCTCGCCTTATCCTTAATTGACCAACATAATGGCATTGCGACTGGTCGGTTTCCAGTTGTTGGGCCTGGCAGCTCTCCTGCTCTCACCAGCCTCATCGGCCCCTACTACTGGTTGCGATTGGCGGAACGCAAGTGAGGTCACGTCACTGCAGTCCGTCCCCGGAGCACGATCACTCGAGAACATTGCGGTTCGGGAGAATGGAAACCTCTTAGTCACCTCCACGGCCTCTCCGACCCTTTTCGACCTGTCACCTGAAGCCAAACATGCGCCGATTCCTGTTGTCACCATCGACGGCGTTAACAGTCTCCTCGGAATCACCGAACTCGGCGAAAAGGATGTTTTCTACGTCCTCGGCTCGAATCTGACCTCAACCGAAAACTCGAACGGCTTGTGGAAAGTCGACCTCCGTAAATTCCGCACCTCGCGCAACGGGACTGTGCTCCAGCCAGCTGTGCTTTCTCTCATCACGCTTGTCCCATCCGCTCTTCAACTCAACGGCATGGCACGTTTGGCCAAGAATGATACTCAGAACCTGCTCATATCCGACTCTGGCCGTGGAACCGTCCTTCGACTCAACGTAAACACCAAGCTCGTTGAGACTGTTCTTGCTGAGCCTGAGATGGCTCCAGTATCTTCGAATTCCAGCATTGGCGTCGCCGTCAACGGGATTCGCATTCGGGGCAACAAACTTTATTTCGTGAGCTTGGACCAAGGCCTATTCGGCAGAGTCCCCATCTCTCTCACAACCGGAACAGCCACTGGCCCCGCGGAGACTCTGGCTACCAACATCACCTTTGGTGACGACTTCGCTTTGTCGAAAGACGGTAAGACTGCCTATGTTGCCACCAACGGTCCTCTGGAGGTTCTCGGAATCGATTTGGTACACGGAGGAAAGACCGTCGTTGCATCCTCGCCCCTTCTCGGAGCTGCATCTTCGGTAGCTTTGGACTTGCACCACCCTCGCAAGGTTTTGTACGTGACGGGCGCTGTGTCATCTGGCAATAGCACTGTTGGGCATGTGTCTCGCGTTACTTTGAGGTGCTAGGCCGAGGAATTAGGAGAACCACAGAGTACTTCCCTCTCGTCTCTTATAGCGGGCGCGATGCTATCGTGAATAATTTGTATGCTAGGAGGCCTCTCTAATAGAATCATAGGTTCATGGCACAACCTAATGAAGATGGAATTGAAGTAACAAAACAAATGGGGTATTATTGATCAAAACTCGCTATCTAAATGCTTTTCTTCCGCTCTTCCCACCAACTATGCAACGGCGGAGCTCCCGAACATATGATGTTTATCGGCGTCTCCAACAGAAACCGATCGATGGCTTCTGGTGGACCAACGTCGAGATTGTCGAGTCGAAAGAGAGTCTGACCGTTTTCGCGTAGCATGGAGGAAAAGTTTGGTACTATTTCTGGGACTGCCAACAACTTGTAGCCCCTCTCTAGGAGGCCAGTTCCTGTCATGGCGTCGATCACAGCTTTTGCTGGTTCAACTTTTGAAACGATCAGTCCTCAGTCATAGATAACAGCTGGCTGGAGTATGGCTGAAATGCATGACTTACCCATACCGTATTTCTGCATCTCTCGTTCAGTCTCGATGATCCGGTATTTGGTGAATAGGGGGTCCGTCGTCTCCAGCTTTCGTGCTTGGATATGCATGTTGAGAAGGTTCACCTCGAACGGTCCACCATGCGTGACCCACGCAGTCCAAAAGTCTTGTTTTTGAACCTTTTCAACATACTGAACCAGATCCTTGATCATGTTCTTCTCGAAAATCCATTCCACACTCTCCAGGTTCCAAAAGGCGGGTCCGAATGAGTCCATCGATCGATCTAGAACGTTTGCCGCGGCGCCGATGAGTCTCCGCATGAAATCGTCATTGGTCATTCTCGACCTCCAAATCGTAGGGTCCTTGACGTAAGCATCAAAGGTTTGGCGCATGCTGAACGGCTGCACGGCGATAGCCTCGGAGTCCAGCCAGAGCGCGTAGTCGTAATCGAGTTCCAGTGCTGCTGACATCTTCTTGATTGTCTGGTATTGGTATTTTCCACGTTCTTTTAGAAGCGCCGACGTATCATTGCCCGTGATTTTCCCGATCGTCATAGAGTGAAAGACGGGGGGTAGGATGTCGAACATGTTGATGATGTTGATTTTCGGTTTCGGCCCGTTGATGTTCATCGCTGGCGTCGGGAAAATGCTGTAGGTTGGCCCACAGGGCTTCAACTTTTTCATCGCATCTTGGAACATTACGACCTCATTTGAATCTGACACGATGACGTGGAAATCGATTTTTGACTGATCTGTACAAAGGCACATATAAGACTGCAGGAACTCCATCGCAAGAGGCATGTGTCCACTCTACGCTCGATTAGCAATTATTATCTCTTCACCCCCAATGACCGGAACTCACAAATGTTGGGAGAATGACGGCGTACTTCATCTCCTGTAGCCTATGTGATTCTGATGTTTCGTTCTTTTTCGATCCAAGATAATACATCTCATCCTCTTCGTTAATTGCGCCATCTTGATCATACGGATTTGCATGACTTGTTTGCGTTCCAGTCCTTTCTCCAGATAAGTCATAAGAGTGAATATCGAAATGTGGCCACAGAGTATGGCTGAAGAACACCACCAACACCACAATACCACTCAGACAGCTCAAGTACAACCACCGAGCCTCTCTGGCCGACGGAGGAAAAGGTTTCGTCAATATCATGGTGTGCCGTCGTCCATTATCCTCCCACAAAAGGTTGCATCCCAAGGAAGTTATTCCACCAAAGTCAACTGCTCGCCGGTGGTTGGTATGGCGCTCACTTCCCCTTTATACCATAGCCACCAACATGTCTGTTCTACGCCGACCGGGCCCGTAGGTTTTCTGCAGCATGGTCCGCCTATCAACTTACAAATGCTTGTCCGATTTCTAGTTCAGGATAGATAGACTATGTCGGAGGGGCTATGCCTTATCTTCAGTTCATCATAGATGCCGATAGACATTGACTGTTTCGAAAATGTGAGTTGCTGGGGTTCAACTCATGATATTAACTTTACCGCTGAAACGCTCGCCCTCCGTAGAAGCCGTTTGGATGGGTCTATGCTAGCCGTGATTGCGTCTCCCCCACAGGCGAAATATCCGTCCCTATTGCCACTTGTCATGAGCTGGACCATCGGAACTATGTACAACTGAAAATGACAGTCCGTGGTGATGGAACTCAGGGTCCCCCCATGTTGTGTCGCATCCCTTTGCCTTACCGGGTTGATTTTAGTCGATTCTTGCGGGGCTGCTAAGCTTCAGAACGCCCCATCCGCGCGGCTACCCCGTCGCTCAAGCATCCACTTGCCCTCCCGCCGGAAAGCTTGTCTGATACTTGGTCGCCGCAAACAAGCAGAGGCATGCTAGTGACGCTCGGTTTCCCAGACTGGCGGGCTAGTGTGGATGGAACGGAGGATTGATGAAACCCATCATCGGTGAGGTGTCTGCTATCATCTTGTAAGTCATCTGAACAGTTCCATGTTGGCAGCGAGATCACTACGACGCAGCTTTGGTTGTGTGGTCGTATCAGTGGAGATGAGAATTGTTTGGTGACATGATGCAGAAAGGTTTACGCGGAAAATTTGATGACGTGAGAAACGAGAGCGAAGGTTTGCTCATCTTCAATCTGTTACTTATGAAATGCCGACAGCGGCCATTCAATTTCCCTGGATTTGAGTTTCTGCTCGCCGTTCGGTTTGCGCCGGTGACCCTTGACGCCCTGTACCTAGTGGTCCACTCACATTCGACTGACAAGTGGGCATAACAAAGTCTGAAGAAATTAACTCCAGAGTTTGTGTGACACTAAGAATAATACAGCAACTGGAAGAGAGCAGCGTCGTAATCCACTGTAAACTGCGTACAGCTCGTATCGTCAATTGAAGATAGCACACTTAACTACATGATCCGATAGGATTTCATAACTCTTCCCCACCTCCGTCACCGACTCGCTCGGAGTTTTCCTTTACTTGGAGATAGCGCTCCTTTACTGACACGCTCTCGTACGCATCATGGCCCCCAGCCTTCTGATACCAGTAAGCAACCACGGCGTATAGACATTTGTTGCCCGAGCCCCAGTCATTGGGCTTATACTTCTCAATGTAGGCCTCGAAGCTTTTGTGAAAAGGCACGTCATCGCACACGTGAAAGCGACAGACTGATGTATGCCCGTTAGCATCAAGCTCAATGTAAGGTTGGCAGGCATAAGCGCTGTCAAAAGTCGGAAATGGCGGTTCGGCCGCCCACGCGTAGCCCACATAATCTTCTGAACCGGTGCCAAAGGTTGACGGGAACTTTTCGCCGTCGACGAAGAACTTCTCGTCTCCCTCGCCCCACCACCAGTCGATAGACTTGTCGCCGCCGACGCCGTACCACCAGTCCTTTGATGGGACCTTGGGATCTTTCCAGCGGTTCCACACGTGCATCTGCACGCCGCAGAATCTTCCAGGGCCGTTATCTAACATTAATAAAGGCCAGTCGATTTCGCGGCCTTCTTTTTTCGGCTTCTCGAGAAAGGCATCTCGGTGCCACTTGGCGTGGAACCGAAGCATGTGCTTCGCAGACTTTTCCAGTGGGCGGTGGCAGATGGTGAAGAATAGCTTCTGCTCCTTCTTGCCATCATTGACCAGCTTGATCTCAGCGCGATCGGAGAATGGCATGAACCAGTGACTGTAGAAACCACCCCCGTCTGTTGAGCCCTGAGGCAAGGAGCGGTAGGTCTGGATGCCCGGAACGCTACCAAAGAAGTCACCCAGTGGTGCCCAGACACTTGGAGACTTGTCATGATCCCAAGTGATCTGGATAGCGAGCTCCCGGAGAATCTGAGCGACGTGATGAGAGTCCTGGACAAGGTCCAACGGCACCACGCGCATGCCAGTGATTGCTCGGTTGCCCGTCAACTCCCGAACAGTATGGCTCTTACCCGGTTTGATGGTGACAGTTAATGTTTCCATCGTGTCGCCCTTTGACCGAGGCAGTGCGGACCAACCACGTTGACTCAGTTGGCGGTCAGCTGCGGCCAATGCCAGACAAGCCTCCCGATCAAAGTTGCCGTCAAAGTGCGGAAGGGTAGTGTGTTTGGGGAATGAGGTGTAAGTGAAATGATAATACGCTCCCCAGCCAGGCCCGAGGCGGATCTTGGCATACTTGTTGTACGGAATGGGAATGAAGCAGTTACGTCCTCTTGACAGAGTGGGCGTTATCGAGGGGAAGTTGTGTGGCATCCCTTGAAACCGATCGAAAAGATCCCGGAAGGGCATGTCCACAACAGGCTTGTCATCGTGCTCGTCGTCAATGAAGATCTGGATACGGCCGACATCCGGCATCGCGGACCAGGTCCGCCAGATGACTCCTGGACCCTGCTGCTCAAAGGCGACTACCCACTCGCCTTCTTCGCGAATGATGCCTCTCCCATCGTCGTTGGCGTCCCAGTCAATGTACTTGTCTTCCTTTGGGTCATAGCGTGAGGCCCGGTCATAGCTCGACATACACCCGCCGCGCTCTCCGGGCAATGGGGATTCAGCAAGACGTTCAAGGTCGTAGAGCCGTCGCACGAGGTCGGGATATGTCAAATGCATTGTTGGAAGCGAATTTTTTTTTTTTGGAGGAAACGATCAAGTCCTGGGTTTCGGGGATTTGAAATTTCATTTCCCCGATTCGAGACGCCGCTGCGATTCCTCGACGTCTTATAAATGTTGGGGTAAAACTGCAAGGCCAGCTCTGCATGACTAGCTTAGAGTTTGTAGCAGGTCAGGATCGGCCCCTTCGTTCTGATTAGACTCGTTCTTTGGTGTTTATCATGAAACATGTCGGTGTTTTCCAGCGGCCTCGCTTCTCGTTTCCAAGCGTCATTCGATCGTGTACCACATGTAGTAATCGGCAAGGCAGTTCCTCACGTGCATTTTGCATTCTACGTCCGATGTCTGACGATCAAGTCCAGGCTGGTTGTTCTCAAGGATTTGCATGGAAGCGCTGCTTCTGTTAGACGTTTAAATGCGAGGTTGACAGCTTTCGTGATGGGGAGAGAAATCGCGGTACTTGTTGCGTCCTTGCTTCTGAAGTGACGCAATGATTGCAAATTTCTCTACTATCGTTTCTAAATCTTAAGCCTTATTTCTTGCGGTGCCTAATTTCGGGGCTGCTGTCTTATTCGAAAGTTCTCTGCTTCCACTACAACGTCGCCCGTCCATGATGTGCACGAGACATCGTTCGCCCAGACCTTCTGATCGATAACATAGCAGTCGAGAGCCCTTTAGCCTTATGGAATCAACAACTCAATACCAAGTTCCTGCTGAAGGCGCCTTTTGGCACACTCGAGAAGCTGGAGACCATCATAACCTGAACACTCGCGGCGGTAGGGAAGAGCGAGCATGCTAATGCCAATAAGCCGAACCCTTCCGCCATTCTTTCCGACAACACTCCCCCATCATATTCATGGTGTACCGAAGCTCTTCCATACTCTTTTCCCAATTCCAATAGTACAGGGCACGTGCATTTGGGGCTCCACCGGTTACACGCGAGGTGAACTCCATGGTCTCGACAGTCGCCGCAAGATTCGGAAAACCGTCGTAACTCGGAAGTTCTTTGTATTTGAGTGCTTCAAAAAGATCATGAATCAGATTCACCTTGAGATATTTCACCCGCCGAAACTGGCGTATAGGATAATAATAACAATGTGCAGGCCCTTCGACGAACCAGCGACATGCATGTCTCAACGGTTTCGGCAAGAGGGTTACATCGCAGACTTGTCGATGACGAGCACTTTGAGCGAAGGCATACGTGCAAAATTTCGTTTTCGAGTAACTCGCAATGGTAAAAGTGCGCCTCGACAAGTGAGAGGAGATAAGGGAAACTGTCTCCCTCGAGTCTGAGACAATCTCTCAGTGTCAAGTGCTTCAATGGAGGCAGAGACGACAGCGTTGGGATCCAAGCCGGTATAATGTATGATTTATAGCAGGAGATATTGAGGCTCTTCAAGCCTTGTAGCTTCAACAAGATTGCCTTGGCAAAGTCGCTGCAGGTGACATCTTCATATGCAAATAGACCTTTTCTCAACATGCGATCCCATTCAAGTCCATCATTGGGGCTCTCAAGCATTTTCAGGTGTTGCATTTCGTTTTGGCATGCTAGGTTGATGTATTCCAGAGTATCCCCAAAGGCAAGGAAGCCTCGCCCAGAAATAGGGTTCTTGTAGAGAACCTCGTAACAAGCTCCTAACAGCCGCCGATTCCCGGCTTTCGCTAGACTGACGAGGGCCGCTCCATTGTCCGGTATAAATGGCATTTGTTCGTGTTCGATAGGGTAGCGGTTCCCGAGCTGGTGCGAAATTCTCCAGTATCGATCTAGTTGTTGGGTCGAAGTCTCATATGTACACTCGGTCTTGTAACTAGGGGAAAGTTCGTCCTCGACAAGCTTCTCTGCAACGATGAGCAGCAGCTCATATGGCAGAGAATTCAATGTGACCGGAACCATCTTATCTGACAAGGTATTCTGGCTCTGCGGATGTGAATGAAAAGATTGCATTTCGGTGATGTGTCTTGAGATCCGTGTGTTGGTTCTATTGCAAATGGTTGGCTTTATGTCGACCTTCGATAGGATACGTACGTTCTTATATCGGAAAAGATGAGTACAATTAATAATCATGCTCTGACTTAACCCTCAAGGTAGGCGGTGCTGAGCTCTTTCCGACACATACATAGTTGTGGAGGTCGCCTACAGCGGCCCTGCACCCTAAGTAGGAACTCCGTTGATTTCTAGATAACAAGGTTCAGTGCTTCGACTACTTATTACTGATACCCTTTGATTGCAGTTGATCTCAATTGCAGTTGGCTGGGGCATCGTCTTTGCCGAGACTGGATGGTAACCTTGGAGGCTTAGAACGCGTCCCCTGGGGATGCCATCTCCACCGTTATTCTCAATCGCAAGCAAGCCCACCAATCACCCATGTCTCATGTGCATAGATCTGGTGAGTTATGCTCTTCGTATGTCATCATTGATACAGGTATCTATTGTCGAACTAAATACGGGGTCATGGCAGCCAGTACCTATCCTCATCTCGGCGTTAACCAGACAAACCCTGCAACAAGACGACGTCAAGTTCCTCTTTGAAAATCCCGACATAATCCAGTGCAAGCTTGCGCAAGAAGTCTCTCTCTTCGTCCGTTCTATACGTGTCATCATTATCATCAATGACCCGAATGTCAAGAACTCTGACCTGCCTATACACATCCCGACATTGTCTGAACAGGAACTTGAGCAGCATCTCCATCTCTTCCGAAATCGTCTCCTCCGAGCTTAGGGAAGACGAAGAATAATATGGCGAAGACTCCGGCGAAGAAGATTCATCAAGTCCGTTCCATCTCCCATCTTTCGTCAGCAGCTGAGGCACATGTTCAAGGTCAAAGATGCCATCGAGAAGCTCAATCGTCTCAACAGTCTTTCCAGCCGCGCAGCCGTCCGTTTCGCCGCACATGAGCTCGAGCAGACTCGTCACCTTGAGGTGCTTTACCGCCCTGAGCCCCCGCGCCTGTAGAGGGTACGCCAATATTGAGAGATCCCTCGTCGGCCAGGGCGACGAGGCTCCCATATCGTACCAAGTAAACGCCTCCAACGTGTCTGCAAACGGCGCAAAGGCGTGAGCGTCGTTCGGGAGCCCCGTTTTCCATCTCGCTCCGATGGTAAGGGTACGCAGCGCCGGGAAGCATAGAAAGAAGTCCTTTTGTGTACAGAAGCTGCCTGTGGAAAAATCGCAGCCGTAAAGACACAGATCCGTGACCCGCGGCAAGGCGGGTATACTGGCCTCCATGAAGTCGTAGACCACACAGCTCAGGCATCTCAACACGAGACGCTCGAGACCCGGAAGCTTGGGGATGGCACTGAACCAGTGTGCTAGGGGCCGTGGATATCGCCGCCTACAGCCTCCTACGTCGCCGGAGAGCTCTAGAGTCCTCAGTCGGGTCAATCCGGAGGGGTCGAAGAGTACTGGTGGCACACTTAGCCTCATATCGTAGTCGTGATCATAGCCTATACGCAGTTGCATATCCCTTTTCTGGAGCTCGGCTCCTGATGAAGTCAGTGTGGTTTGTAGCTTGCGTGAGTTTATAAACCCCTTGCCATCCGTGACGATGATACGTCTGTAGAGAAGCTCGGCACAGATATCGTAAAATCGGCCGTTGACCCGAGCCAGGCTGAGTATATCCTCTCTACTCCGTGGGCCCTCGGTATTGAGATGTTCTTCGAGGGCTACGGATCTCCGGTAATGTCCCATGTCGCGCGAGGACGCGTGTCTATATTCTAGCACTTTGACATCGTCGCCTGGAAAGGGGGGGAGTTCGTCAACAAGGTGGCCGAAGATAAGGAATAGAGTCTCGGTGGGAAGCCGGTTGATAGACATCGTTGTCAATGACGACTAGTTGCTATTAACCTCTTGTTTCGTGTCTGGCGCCATTCTCGTGGGTGTCGAATCTGCTTCAGCTTGCCGTTAGATAGATTAGCATGTAAACCGATATATCTAGAGGCTTGGAGTAAGATATCAGTTGGAATCACTCGCGCGGGAACCGCCCTGAAGTACTATCAACTAAGTGTTTCTCCGATAGCAGCTCGTTGGCTTTAGGAGGGAAGCAAATGCTTTCGAGCTGCCATCCGGGTGAAGAGAAGACAGGTAGATACCCTGAGAGCAAGAGATGCAGAGATTGAACCCTCGCTGGTCGTCGAAAAGCTTATCCTGACCATCGTTCGGAGATACACTTGGGCACAAACAGTAGCAAAGGTCTTGAATAGCGTCTGCAGCCCTTCAGGCGAATTAACACATGGAATTTAGTTATCCAATGAGCCAGACCCTCAATAAACCCCCGGAATAATAGTCCACTTCTTCCCAACCTTTTCCTCCCCAAACTGCCCAACATACCACCGCCTCCCGCTCCTCGCCCTCGGAAACATGACAAAGATCTCATTCAAAAAGAACGCCCTTCCGGGTACGCTCCACCCGCTCGCCATCCAGAACCCAAACCACTCCACCCACTCGCAAAAGTAATGCGGGTACAGCATATACCGAAACAGCATCGTGTCAGGCAGCCGATAATGCTTATCCACGCCCCTTGCCATATCCATATTACCCTCCAGCTTCTGTTGCTTCGCAATCTTGGCCTGGCGCCGCTGCTCCGTCCTGCGGATCTCGCGCAGCTCCTCGTCGTGGAAGTAGTTCAGCGTCAAGCCGACGTAGAAGACGGCAATGCCCGCGGCAAACTGCGCGATGCCGCCGCGGCCGAGGGCAGAGTCCCATGCTGAGGCTGTGGTAGGGCCGTAGGCGGCGAGGTAGCTTCCCAGGCATGTCGCATTCATGAGTTGGAAGAGGACGGCCGAAGAGGCAACGACGACGTGGATTGGGGACATTGAGGGTTGGAGAATCGGAAATAGGACGGCACGGTAGGCGTAGTGGATGGTCTGTAGTGGCGCCCAATTATCAGTCGACGTAGATCTAGTAGTGGGCAATCAGGGCGAGGGAGGGGGGAGCATACGAATAACCCAGCGAGCACCTTATTCTGCCACGGCAGATCGTCAATGCCGACCTGTCGCGGCAGGGTGTTCATGATGTACAACAACGTCGTGACGCCCGGAACCTCCATCAGGAACCATGCCAGGCGGCCGGGGATGTTGAGGCGGCTCGTGACCGAGGTCTTGCCCATGCCGTACCAATTGATGACATACTGCAGAGAGCCGAACTATACAAACATCGAAAAGTCAGCAAAGGTTAGCCACGATTGTTGTGACCAAATGGCTCAAGGGAGTTGTTGTTGCATACCACAGGCCAGGAAAGCTGCCACACAGTAGTGATAGTCTGCCAGTTCTCCCGCGTCGGCGGGAGCCACCCCTCAATCAGGGGCATTTTCAGTTCCTTCTCGACTGGTAAAGGACGATCCAATTGCAGAGAAATAGAGGAAATAGAGTAGCAGAGAGTAGAATGAGTCAAGGAAATACAGAAGAACAAGGTATTGTAGCGTGGTGCGCTTTCCCTCCTTCCCAAGCTTCCCACCGTTGATTGTAGGTATGTGGAAAGTGCGACACAAAATCAATGACATCAAGCAGCTTGGGTGGAATTGGCGGCGGGAGCTCCGGGTCTTGGGCCTGCGACGCGTTGAAGCCACGGCTTGCCAGACCGCTTTCCCCATTTGCCTTAGCAATTGGTGGGGTTGCAAGAGCTGCTCTGCAAATCGGGGAGGTTCCTGAGCATCCTGTACAGCTACCCCTTGCAGCCTCCACCACAGCTTCAGGAACATGTCAAAAACTACGGAGTAGAAGTCCCTTAATTATTTGTTGACTTATTTCACAAGAATATTTAGAGATCCCAACATAAGCTGTAGGGCCATGATTCTTCTTCCATTCATCAGCTATCGATCCTATAAAGCCACTATTTCCAACGCCGCCCGCTGAGAGGAAATGTTTGTACAGCAAAAAGCTTTGTCAACTCTGCCTGTCAGAGTCGAAGTCTGTCCATGCTCTGCGCAAGAATTCAAATGACACGAAAACGCCGCAATCATAAAAAGCACCGGAGCTTCTTCTGCTCACATTACGATGCAATCCCTTTCCCTCCCACCTTGCGAACTTCCTACAACGCCGCCGGGTCCCAGCACGCGCCCGCGACCACCGCCCATACCTGGCCGCGAGGGCGACAGCGGGAATGACGGTCCAGCACCCCCGTTGCCTTGTCTATTGACAGGACTGCTCGCATGATGGTGAGGGTGCCCAGGAGGTGGTTCATACTTGGCAGCCGCCTGCGCCTGCTCATACGTCGGCGGGGCATCATCCATGCCTTCGTCAGCCGGCCGATTCACGCCTTGTCGACGAGCAGGAACTGTCGGCGGAACCAGTGGTCGCACCAGCTGCGGCGGTTGCCCAGGCTGCCGACCCGACGTGGGCGGTACTGCAGCACTGCTCACGTTAGTGCTAGAGTTCCGACGGCTACCGCGAGAAGCAGTCGAGTTGCCATTGCTGTTGCTGCGTGCACCGGTGCCGGTTCGGGCAGCCTGCCTGTCGGCTGCACGTCTAGTCGTGGGCCCTTGTTGCAATCTGGCCTGCTGCTCGATATACTGCTCGCTAAGCTGACTCTCGCGCCGGCGAGCCGACTGCTCTGCCCGATGGCGTTGTTCTTCCTCTTCCTGTAACTGAAGCGCGAGGGCAAGATCTCGATCCTCCTGCTCATGATTGGGCGACAGGGGCATCTCGTCACCTTGCGCCGGAGCCTCGAGATGCTTGTTGCGGCCGCGGCCGGGCACAGTAGTCCAGCCCCCTTCATTGGCACTACTCGTGTCGATTCTCGGTCGGTTATGGGCATTGTTCCTCGAAGTAGGTTGTCCCCTGGAGTTCCCTTGCGGTTGCTCCCCGCCCACGATCCTGAAATCGCCAGAATAGTATTCCGTGCGTTCGCCATTCACGTCGGCTAGGGATTCCCAAACAATTTCGTCGTGTGTGGCGTAGCCTGCGTCGGTGACGAGGACCAGGAGTTGCTGTGTAGCAGGGTGCCTGTAGAGTGTTGAAAAGTGATCGTTTCTAAACAGAATGGCAAAAGAGCCGGGCTTCATGGCCTTTGTGATGACCTCGAGTCCAGATGGCGTTAACTGTGTGGCTGAAGTCTCCAGAAACGCCTTGATCGACTGTATGTCTGAGTATACCAGCTCCTCCTCTTCCGTCAGTTCCCCCAACCTTTCCTGCAGCTCCTCGTCTCGGAACAGGAGCGTCTGCACGTCTTCAAAAGAGGCGGCCTGGCGCTCAAAAGCAGGGTAAGCCGGATCATTCTTAGTGGGCAGCCACCCGTGGATAAGCGGAATAGCAAAAGCAGCATAGAGCGCCATCTCTCTAGTGTCTTCGAAGGTTCCAGGAATCAAGTCGTCGCGTTCGGTCGGGTGTAAATGAGTCAAGGAAGTGCGCTTAAAGGCCTTGATGATTTCAGGCGTGGGAACGAAACGTGGATTCACGTTCATTCCTGTGTGAAGACCCTTCAAAAAGGCATACAACTGAGATACATCAGGCAAAGCTTCTTGTGTTCGCCTCATCAGCTCATCGACGACCGCGTCCAGTAAGTACCCGAGACTGATTTGCTCTCGAGAGCGCAGGACTTCTATCAAGGCCGTTTCTGATAGAGACGATGGAGTTGTAAGTGTAAGCGCGTTGACCAAGGCAAGAAGAGGGCAAGGGCCATTAGCATTCTGTACGAGGATGGGCGAAACTCGCGGGTTCTGATCCGCGCTGTGATCGTGCCAACGGACGTTCTTGATCTGGTATGTTTCGGCCTTGCCGTCTACAGGGCGTGGGGGTTGGCGCGGAGGTTGCTCTTCGTCGTCGTTCCGCGGAGGCAATGCTGGCGCTACCTTGTCGTCGGAGACCTGATCGGGCCTGTCGTGCGTTTGATTCGGCATTTGCGATCTGCCCGGCGGAGGGCCAGCGGGCGGCTCGACGTCGATGAGATTCCAATCATCCATAGGCCCGTCTTCGACTGTAGGAGGAGGGATAACGGAAGCGGGGGCGGGGGCCTTTCCCTTGCCCTTGTTCTGTCCGCCTTCGTCGTCCCAGGCATTCTGGTCTGCAACTGCATCGTTGGGAATGGAGGCTACAGGTAATTCCAGTGGTTTCTTGCTCTGATTCTCCGGCAAGTCGTCCCATGCCGGTGAGGTAGGTTCTGAGGGGAGCGATAGCAGTGCTGGAGAGGTCGAAATAGCGGGCAATTTTGGCTCCTGCGTTGCAGCCCATGCATCGCGCTCAGACTCTCCGCTATTTTGAGTACGCAAAGACTGCTGGGCGCTGGCGGCGGCAGCTCTCTGAGCATGCTGGTCGAGGGCAGGTTGCCATGGATTATTACTGATCTCGCCGGTGCTCATCTGCGAGAGCGGCTGCGCCGGAGGCATCGTCGGGGTCCCGTTGGTGGGCGGTGATGTTGGATTTGAGTCGTCGCGGACTTCCTTGCGCTTGAACGGGTTTGTGTCGGACCGTGAAGGTGGCGCTCCTGGCCGTAATACCAATGGGATCTCGTTGGACTCGCTTCTTGTCTCGCTGGCGATTTGAGGTTGGTGGCCGTCAACGTCATTCCATACTCCGTTGGTCATCCCGGGGGCCTGTGCCGTGACCCCGCCGGGCTTCAGAGATTCGGGAACGTCTTGGGGTATTGATTGTTGGTTCAGAGCTGCAGCGCCCCTTTGCTGAGGAGCATCGTCCCAAACACTGTCTACGTCGGAAGGAGAATCGGTTGCGCTCCAAAGCTCTTTCCGCATGTCTTCAACCCGCGGGACAGCAGCGTTGGTGTCGAGGGAGGTCTCGTTGGGGACGGGCTTGCGGGTAACCATGTCGACGAGGGTCCCGAGGTCTCGGACTTGGGTGGTTGTAACGGAATGAATTCGTGAGAGCGGCTGTCGTTCGTCGCAAGAAAATAGAAGCAACGCGAAATCAGAATATCTTCGATTTAGGCGAAATTCTGCGGCTGGGAGAGCTGCAGGTGTGGTCGAGGGTGTTCGGCGAGCGGCTAGGCGTGAACGAGGGCGTAGGTGAAGGTGAGATTGAAGCTCCAGTGGGTGTCGTCATTCGTAGTGGGCTGTGAATAGAAACCTCTCAATTATTGCACTGGAAGCGATCAGCAGCCAACAAGAGACAATCGACCAACGGCAATACCGGAACCGTTTGGCAGAATGGGTAATCAAACGGCAGGCTCTTGAAGCCCGGTGTATCCCGAACGCTGTGAAATACAGGCTGCCGAAAAGGATGAAGCCAAATGTCTGGAGGTTGCAGGAAAGAGAGTCTGAGGAACCTTGGAACGGAACTTGCTGGGAAGCCAAAAGAGCACCTCAATGGGAGCCAAGACTAGCCTGCAGCAGCTGCGGCGGCAACGAGCAAGCAGTGGCCCTGACAAGGTACCTGTGCTAGTGCAGACACTGGACGAATACACCAGGAGCATCACTGCACTGTATTCGTACACCTCAGCAGCCGTCGTAACGGAGAAAGCCCACGCAACCCGTCGGGACGCAAGCACACGGCGCAACGCTCGCGGATTGCGGGCGGGCACGCACATGGAAGTGGCGGTGCGCCTTACACTTTCAGGTTTCGCTCCTTCCAAAATCCCCCACCACCACCTCCTCCCAAGTTTGAGGTACCTTAACTGGAGAGGTACTCCGTAAAGGTAGGTAGGTACTTCTACTCGTATTTGGGAACGTGCTGCTGACTTGACGTCTTTTTTCGTCCCGGATCCCCCATCTGTTCTAGAGACTCTTCCCGCCAACCTCTTCCCCAGCACTGCACCTCGACGTTTAGAACTAGGACCCGACAATTTCATCTCGCACATCACTTGACTAGATGGAAGGGATGCCAAAGGAACTGCGCAAGAGTTGGGACAAACGCTTCTCAGCACCTACCACTGCTGCCTCGAATCCCTGATACTGGGTTTTCAGCAAGGCATGGACCTCAACAACACCATCCGCCTTGCTTCACCACCAACTCCGTACCATCGCCTCTCCGCTGCGGCACGACCAAGTGGGCCCCTGGACGCAGACCCGGCGCGGCACAAGCACCTCGAGTTACGCGGACAGGGTACCGCAGCTGCCACCAGAAGCTCTCCCGCAGTCTGTAGAGCGCTGAAGGCATGGTGAGAAGACATACACCTGCGGCAAAGAGCCAGCGGCAATTCCACCATGCTCGTTGACTGGCCCTGGCAAGACTTCGCCCCGTGGGAATATCCTTGGATACCTCCTCGAGTCGCTTACCGACTACACAAAGCGGAATCGCCAGGCAACAGCATACATGCAGGAATCATATGAGACCTACCTATTACAACATAGCAAAGCATTGCAGCTCGCATAGGGCCAAAATGTCACGGGCCAATGGCCACCATCATTGGAAGATAAGACA